CGTGTATCTCAATTGATCTTCTTTAATCTAATTTTTGATTTCCGTTAAAAATCGAGTTATACACTAAAATCTGACACATAAGTGTCATTACGTTAGCTTTCAAAAAGATTTATGGTAGAAATGTGGAGACATTTAAAAAGTTGACTAGTCAGTGACAAAAATGTCTGATGCAATTCTCCATTTTGTCCTGTACCAAATTAGTTTTCTAACTATTGAATTGCCTTTCCATGTGTTTGTGACGTGTGCTACTAGTGGGACAGGCTACGCCGACCTGCCCGCGAACACCTGGTGTCATCACTATTTCATGTTGATTCATCAACAGATTCACGAACAGCAGACCGAGGCGCGTCGGATGTAGGCAACACGCACACATCGATAACCCAACCAACAAAGGACCAGTATATGTAGCTTCTGGATTTTATGTCAACCAAGTTCTTCTTTTTATACTAATGACTTCGGAAATCAGTATAACGTATAATTCGGTAGTTTGGAATTTTGTGTGTGTGTATGTGTGTGTTGTGTGTGTGTTATGCGTATGTGTGTGTATGTGTGTGCGTGCGTGCGTGCGTGCGTGCGTGCGTGCGTGCGTGCGTGTGTGTGTGTGTGTGTGTGTGTTGTGTTGTGTTCTGGATTTTATGTCAACCAAGTTCTTCTTTTTATACTAATGACTTCGGAAATCAGTATAAGGTATAATTCGGTAGTTCGGAATTTTGTGTGTGTGTGCGTGTTTTGTGTGTATGTGTCCGTGCGCGCGCGCGTGTTGTGTGTGTGCATGTGTGTGTGTGCGTGCATGCGTGCGTGCGTGCGTGCGTGTGTGGTGTGTGTGTGCGTGCGTGCGTGCGTGCGTGCGTGTGTGTGTGTGTGTGTGTGTGTTGTGTTCTGGATTTTATGTTAACCAATTTCTTCTTTTTATACTAATGACTTCGGAAATCAGTATAAGGTTTAATTCGATAGATCGGAATTTTGTGTGTGTGTGTATGTGTGTGTTGTGTGTGCGTGTATGTGCGTGCGTGCGTGCGTGCGTGCGTGCGTGCGTGCGTGCGTGCGTGCGTGCGTGCGTGCGTGCGTGTGTGTGTGTGTGTGTGTGTGTGTGTGTGTGTGTGTGTGTGTGTTTTGTGTGTAAAGCCTGCCATGGATCAAATAAACAAGAGCAGGCATATTGAAACCGACCAGGACACGTGGCGGACATGAAAGATATTACATTAAAAAAACTGTGTACATGTCAACGTAAACAAGTTATTTCCTTGTCAAGCAGCACGTGACCGAGGGACCAGAATAACAAGTCACTTGCTGAATGAGAGCACCGTGTTAGTACCCCGGTCTAATGTTGCCTGTTGTCCTCATATAACGGCGGTGTCGACAGTCTTGCTTGTTGCTTGTTTGTTGTTTAACGCTGCACTGCATGGTGTTTAGTCAATTTATACACAGATGCGTGCTTTTGAACGGTAGCTCTACCTGCTTACTTGTTTGTTTGTTGGTTAACGCAACACTCAACAATATTCCAGCTATATGACGGCGGTCTGTGAATAATCGAATCTGGACCAGACAATCATGAGGTGAGGTGAGGTGAGGTGAGGTGAGGTGAGGTGAAATTGTGCAAGCACGTGTGTGTGTGGCTGCGATTTATAGTGCTAGCCCACTGAGATACCATACCGCAGTTAAACGTGAATACCCCACTCGGACACAGTATACTGATTCCTAGCCGACCAGTCCTTGTTTTAGCTCCTTAATGCCGAACGCCAGACAGAGTAATTATAAGTACCATCTTTTAACGTCTTTTGGTATGACGCGGCCGGGGATCGAACCCAGGACCTTCCGCTCTCCGGGCGGACGCTCCACCTCTAGACCACGGAGGCGGTCCGACTGACATCATGAGCATCAATCTACGCAACTGAGATACGATGACATGCATCAACCAAGTCCGCGAGCCTGACCACCCGATCCCGTTACGCCGGATCTCCACGGGTCAATAATACATGACCTTATCAGGACGTAAGATACTGCTTAAACCAAACAATCTTGCTCTCACGACCAGGCGCTTTCTTGTGTAAAAGCTGTAAAAGCAAACACTATAACTGCACGACATTTTCCCTGCGCGGTCGCGAGGGAAGTTTGTTTTGATCAGTAGGGTACAGACATTAACAGAAAACAAGTAACTATTACAAATAACCGATATTATTTTAAATCAATTCGATTTGACAGAAGCCAAAACTAAGCGTTGTCGCCTACGTTTACAATTGTTGCAGTAATATGCTCGACCAAACTTCAAAACTCAATCTGTTGACAAATCTCACCCTCGAGACCCGACTCTGACACGAAGATTAACGAGATATTTCTTTATATAACCCCAAATGTAAACCAAGTAAGCAGATGCGCTCAGTTAAAATAATACGTTGCCTTACAAATATTGACTTTAGCGTTTTTAATGAAAAATGGGTCCGAATACATCATTCTCATATCTATTTTGTATGAGTGATGCTTTTCATGTACTTCCGCATCTACCAGAATAGATCGATTCTTGCTGCATACACAGTCTTAAGGGGAAGGAACAACCCAGAACATAACACGTTGAGGTGTGTGTGTGGGGGGGGGGGGGGGGGGGGGGGGGGGGCTAGCAACTGTGCAGAGAGGGTCTTGGTAAGCTGGACTAATACAAGTCGTCACCAAACAACAGCGTATTTGTGTATAATCGCTCCTTTAAGTAGAATGTTAGATTCAGAAACAAACCCTCAAATAAAAATATCGTCTATCATACAGACCGTGTAAGAAATATATAGAATACATCGCATGCAAGTCTATAATACTTGGCAAGTCAAGATTAATGTTTTTTCAGGTCTCTGAAAATAAAGTGTCTTTGGGTTCCAATTTACTATATTATAGCAAGATAATGTAAAAACATTTTTTAGTAAAATATTTTCATTTCAGAGACAAGATGCGTATCTTACAAAAATACAAAGGTATGATAATTCCACGCTATCTTGGTTCATTGGAACTCGAAGAAACCCTCAGCATATCTTTTCCAGATGGTATCACTATCACATTTACCATCTCGACAACATATTTGTGGGCATGTGTAGATGCTGGTAACGATTAAATACCTCCCGTGAGCAGCTTTGACCACTAGGCCTGAAGGATACAGCGCTGTACCGCGCAACGCGATCCCTAGCACAGCAGGCGCGACGCTGTCTGTGTTCGCTCAGTTCGGATATCAGTTCGCGATCTAGCTGGACGAGGGGAAGAATATCCAGATAGTCATCTGTATTGAGTCCTTCTGATCTGGTTCTCCGGGGAAGTAATCCCCTTGGGCAGGACCGCAACTGCGTATCTCCTCCATGTGGCTACAAGTCCCGACCAGAAACGTCTAAACTGTGAAAATACGGTCAAACCTTGCGTGAGTGAGTGAGTGGGGTTTTACCATGGGCTTCATACTCTACCTTAGTTGGGATTGGAACCCGGGTTTTAGGTGTAACGAGTCAACGATTACACCACTGGGCTACCTCGGATCCTTCCCTAAATGTTTCATAAATATATGTTAAAATACGAAAATAATGCCCCAAACACAACACTTCACTACAATTGCTTTGATCAATAGGATAAAACGCCCTTTTAAAAAAATATTTTAAAATGTTTTCATGTTTTTGTAGATGCACCATTACATTTAGATATATGTATAATTATGTATACATGTATTTATGCTTTAATATGAATGGATCAATTCACAAACAAAGAACCCAGAGAAGGTCCGGGCTCTAATGGGTCTTCAGCAACCCGTGTTTGTCGCATGATGAACCTAATTGAATAGGGTAGTCAGGCTCGCTGACTTGGTTGATGCATGTCATCGTATCCCAATTGTGTAGATCGATGCTCATGATATTACTCACAGGATTGTCTGGTCCAAATTCGATTATTACAGATCGCCGTCATATATCTGGAATATTGCTGAGTGTTGCGTTGAACAACAAACAAACAAAGAAGTATGCAGGTAGAGCTACCGTTGAACAGCAGGATGTGTATAAATTAACTAAACATCATGGACTATTCCTCTAAAATAATCAACAGTTGCTTTCTGATTTCACGCATCAAGTTGATACCGGTTCCTCTCTACATATAAAAAACAACTGACACATACAACAGAGAGAACCGTACTGAGCAGTCTTAGCGAGTCTCCCTCGCCCAGCTGACTCAGGCGTAGTAAACACTACAGGCAAAAAGCCAGTATAACGTAACCTTGACCTTCACATTATCTTCCGGCGTGGCTATGTATGGGGGAGATAGCGGCGGTGAAGGGGGGGGGGGGGGGGGGAGATACGTATGGTCTTAGATAGATAGCTGACGCATCTGGAGCCCTCGTCCCCGTCAGACACTGATAACCTTGTCGATGACATGTATCACTGCGATGAGGCAGGTGCTGTCACGGGAGCTCCCCGCTTGACCGATCACGTGGTCTGTTATCAAATTCATATTAAGGCGTCCAAGAGAGATAACAGCTTGTTTTGCGAAGTCGATAAATGGCCGGTCAATGTATCAGTGTCTCCAAGTAGGCCAGTGAACTGCAGGATCCCTCGCATTGCTCTCTTACAGACCTTACAGACATATATTTCATAAAACAATCAACCCATCCCATTCCCATCCTCTACCTCATCCCCTAGTCGACTCTTGTACGCATCCCCTTGTTAGCTCTTGTACGCATCCCCTAGTCAGCTCCTGTACTCATCCCCTTGTCAGCTCCTGTACTCATCCCCTTGTCAGCTCCTGTACTCACCCCCTTGTCAGCTCCTGTACTCACCCCCTTGTCAGCTCCTGTACTCATCTCCTTGTCACCTCTTATACTCACCCTCTTGTCAGCTCTTGTACGCATCCCCTTGTCAGCTCTTGTACTCACCCCCTTGTCAGCTCTTGTACGCACCCCCTTGTCACCTCTTAGACTCACCTCTTGTCAGCTCCTGTCTCACCCCCTTGTCAGCTCTTGTACTCATGCCCTTGTCACCTCTTATACTCACCCTCTTGTCAGCTCTTGTACGCATCCCCTTGTCAGCTCCTGTACTCATCCCCTTGTCAGCTCCTGTTCTCATGCCCTTGTCACCTCTTATACTCACCCTCTTGTCAGCTCTTGTACGCATCCCCTTGTCAGCTCTTGTACGCATCCCCTAGTCAGCTCCTCTACTCATTCCCTTGTCAGTTCCTGTACTCACCCCCTTGTCAGCTCCTGTACTCATCCCCTTGTCACCTCTTATACTCACCCTCTTGTCAGCTCTAGTACTCACCCCCTTGTCAGCTCTTGTACGCACCCCATTGTCACCTCTTAGACTCACCTCTTGTCAGCTCCTGTACTCACCCTCTTGTCAGCTCTTGTCAGCTCCTGTACTCATGCCCTTGTCGCCTCTTATACTCACCCTCTTGTCAGCTCCTGTACTCACCCCCTTGTCAGCTCTTGTACGCACCCCCTTGTCAGCTCTTGTACTCACCCCCTTGTCAGCTCTTGTACTCATCCCCTAGTCAGCTCCTGTACTCATCCCCTTATCAGCTCCTGTACTCATCCCCTAGTTCATCTTGTACTCATCCCCTTGTCAGCTCCTGTACTCACCCCCTTGCCAGCTCTTGTACGCACCCCCTTGTCAGCTCTTGTACTCACCCCCTAGTCAGCTCTTGTACTCACCCCCTAGTCAGCTCTTGTACTCACCCCCTTGTCAGCTCCTGTACTCATCCCCTAGTCAGCTCCTGTACTCATCCCCTTGTCAGCTCTTGTACTCATCCCCTAGTCAGCTCCTGTACTCATCCCCTTGTCAGCTCTTGTACTCACCCTCTTGTCAGCTCCTGTACTCATCCCCTTGTCAGCTCCTGTACTCATCCCCTTCTCAGCTCCTGTACTCATCCCCTAGTCAGCTCTTGTACTCACCCCCTTGTCAGCTCCTGTACTCATCCCCTAGTCAGCTCCTGTACTCATCCCCTTGTCAGTTCCTGTACTCACCCCCTTGTCAGCTCTTGTACTCACCCCCTTGTCAGCTCCTGTACTCATCCCCTTGTCAGTTCCTGTACTCATCCCCTAGTCACCTCTTATACTCACCCTCTTGTCAGCTCTTGTACTCATCCCCTAGTCAGCTCCTGTACTCAACCCCTTGTCATCTCTTGTACTCATCCCCTAGTCAGCTCCTGTACTCACCCCCTTGTCAGCTCCTGTACTCATTCCCTTATCGACTCTTGTACTCATTACCTTGTCAGCTCCTGTACTCATTCCCTTGTCAGCTCCTGTACTCATCCCCTAGTCGACTCTTGTACTCATTACCTTGTCGAGTCGTGTACTCATTCCCTTGTCAGCTCCTGTACTCATCCCCTAGTCGACTCTTGTACTCATTACCTTGTCGACTCTTGTACGCATTCCCTTGTCAGCTCCTGTACTCATTCCCTTGTCAGCTCCTGTACTCACCCTCTTGTCAGCTCTAGTACTCACCCCCTTGTCAGCTCTTGTACGCACCCCCTTGTCAGCTCCTGTACGCACCCCCTTGTCACCTCTTGTACTCGTCCCCTTGTCACCTCTAGGATCTGTCCAACTCTGCAGAACTACAGTTGAGAATATGGGTAGCTGGACTTTCATGTAAATCAGAGCCAGACAGATTTGTTTAGTTCATGAATATTCCAGTTTTCCCTTATAGAGGGGCGGTCGGGTAGCCTGGTGGTTAAAGCGTTCGCTCGTCACGCCGAAGACCCGCGTTCGAATCCCTTAGGGAGTTATTTTTATTTATCCTTTGACATAATGGCATTCCGGGAACTATATACTGAGGGGTCTTGCAGATACTAAAAGATACAAGTCTTAAAAAACGTCGCATTTTCATCTTTCAATAGCGCAGTTCAGTTGTATATGGAATGACGCATGTTATACCCACATTGACTGTTACTTGTCACGTATTGCATGTGTATGTGATAAACCACTGCTTTCGTTCAGGAGTGTGATTGGGTAGCTTTCTCCATCACCTTCAATCTTGCACTTTTCACTGCTTTAAACAGTCGTTGTCCATGGTTCTAGTTTCATGAAAGCATCCTATCAGTGTGACATAGACACAAACAATATGTGCTTCAACTGTAAGTCTGTCAACAAATTCAGACCCAATGACGCTTGTTGGCAAATGTTCATGTTCGACGACCTACATTCCAAGGTGACGCTTCAGTAATGACGTTCAGTATATAGGTTAGTTTAATTCCTTCATTATTCATATACGTCTATATGTGTGCATGTCATCAAGTCAAGTCATGTAAGTAACTGGTCACAGCAAAAGTGCAATCTGTAGAAGAGCGTCTGCCCAGAGAACTGAAGGTCGGGGTTCGATCTCCGGCCGCGCCATACCAAAAGACTTTAAAAGATGGTACTTGTTGTTACCGTGTCTGGCGCTCGGCATTAAGGGGCTTAAACAAGGACTGGTCGGCTCGGAGTCAGTATACTGTGCCTGAGTGGGCTGTTCGTGTTAAACTGCAACATGGCATCTCAGTGGGCAAGTACTATAAAATCGGCATCAGTCCGGACTAGTACAAGCAGCCACATACACGCACGCACGCATGCACACATACGTGCCTGCACGTAGCTATATAAGTGCAATAATCTTGGACGCAACGTTAAACCCCATTTAAACTCACAAAAAGAGTGTGAGCAGTCGGAAATTGATGACGTCACATTCCGGCCATCTCAGCGAAAAGTGGCAATCGAATTGTCCTTTTAGACGTCACACATTGCTTGTATTTGACATCTGCTGTCGAGAAGACAGTTTCCTAATACAAATACATGTACCTGGTAAGTATTGACTGAATTTGAATTATTGTACGGGTTTATTGTCTCAAATGGACATATAGAGACACGCGTTATATACATGCCCTACTTAAACCAATTCAGAATAACAAAGTCAAACATACGTGATATGCATCAATTGATTTGAATACATCATGGAATTTTATAGTTCAAATAAATATATGTTGCATGATATGCACATTTTTAAGAGCTTGGTATTTGTCATTTCTACAGATTGCATATAAATGTTATACATTCATAAATGTAAGCATAGACAGCCTGGAAAATAATAACGTTCGTGGTTGATATATTAATGTAATATACATTCAAATATTCGAGGTATGTTTTTGTTTGATTGTTTGTTGTTTAACGCCGCACTCAGCGATATTCCAGCTTTATAGCGGCGGCCTGTAAATAATCCAGTCTGGACCAGTGATTGACATGAGCCTCGATCTACGCAATTGGGATGCGATGACATGCAAGAAACCAGTCAGCGAGACTGACCACCCGATCCAGTTAGTTGCATCTCAATACAAGCATGAGTTGCTGAAGACCAGTTCTAACCCGGATCGTCACGGGTCTCGTGGCATGTATTTCGGCATGTTTTCTGAATATTTTGATTTGTTTTCTTTCAGAATGATAGAAAATCTCACCCGAGTGTCTTTTGAGATAAAATATATCGTATCTTCTGTGGAAGCTAGTTTTGTAGACTAACATCTAGTCTCTGAAATGAACATATAGTTCAGAAAACAGTTGTTAAATTATCTTAAAACAAATAAATAAAAAGGAGCCCAGAGACTCTTCATTTTCCTGATACTGCAGAATTCTAGACTTGCCAAACATTATAGACTTGCATGGGCTCTATTTGATATATTTGTACCAGGGTCTGTAATACAGACTACTTGTTTTTGATGATAAAAGGTTGTAGTTGTGTGTAGTTGTAACGGTAACTTGCCGGATCGTACTGTAGGCTAGTTGAGTGGTAATGGTGTTAGCAGTTCTCGCCTAAAACCCTTGTTTCGATTCTATTCTGGTACAACAGGCTTCAGTTTGTCTCCCAGACCCTAGAGAATAAATAAAACAGGAGTCAAACTCAAGTCTAGAATGATAAGGCAACTCTATATTGACTCAGCTCTAGATAAACAAGTATATTTAGATAAGACAACTATATTTCCGGGACTAAATGTTAGTCTAAACACAATATAGAACCTTGGAAATCCGGGATAAATTGGTCCCCAGCACCCCATGCTAGTCGCAACAGGGGACCTGATGGGTGGGGTGGTCAGGCTTGGTCATTTAGTCATCTCATTTAAAGATATATATCTACACAATAAAAATAACAAAAACCAAATTTAGCCCAGAACAATGCTTAATATCAGGCTTGACAAATCATCCTAGACTTGCGTTGGATCTATTTATAGATAGATTCGCAAGGGCCGTGGAGACAGACAACATAAGTGTTAAGCTGGCACGCCGTGCTATGATTTAAAGCTGTTCAAAGCGGCGGTAACAAACTCACTCACTCTCTTCCACTATTTTGCTGACCTAGGCACGTTGGGATATAACCGCAATAGTGACGATTGTACCGTTGACTCACTGACTCACCCACCACTGTGCATGCTGCGAGTACGCCTTTAAAACAGTCACTTGCGCCAACAGCTGAAGCCGGAATCCCTCTAAGAGTTGGGTCATGTCTAATAGGCTCCATGCAGCGAAAGTTGAAACAAATGTCGCACAAAACTGCATACATTGCTAATATTTGCTGAATACACAATTTACAATGATAGCTTCCCTTCCGTAATGAGATACTACTGATAACGCCATCAACATATCTAGTTAGGAACGGAGTCGTTCGGATGTAAATCCTCAAATTAACGGTGGCACGAGACCTGTGTTTCGTTTTATTAAACTCTCGTGTATATATGATCTCGTATTTTCCACCTAAGACGTTCGCGGTTTTCATTAAACGTTAACGACTGGCACATATGTATTATGTTATTATTTGAGGAAGAAGCTTGCTGCTCCCTGCGGGGATTCCGGGGCAGACTGAGCCCCCAGTACCCTATGCTTATCTCCCTGTGGGATTCCGGGGCAGACTAAGCCCCCACCCAGTACCCTATGCTTATCTCCCTGTGGGATTCCGAGGCAGACGAGTCCCCCAGTACCCTATGCTTATCTCCCTTTGGGGATTCCGGGTCAGACTAGGATCCCAATACCCTGTGCTTATCTCCCTGTGGGGATTCCGGGGCAGACTGGGCCCCCAGTACCCTATGCTTATCTCCCTGCGGGGATTCCGGGGCAGACGAGGCCCCCAGTACCCTATGCTTATCTCCCTGTGGGATTCCGGGGCAGACTAAGCCCCCACCCAGT